ACATTGTCAGCAAAGGCTGAGAGATGTGAAAGAACATGGCATTTTCCTGGAATGGCAATAAATCCAGTTGGGGGAAGGGTGTGGAACAGGTGCCAAAGGTGGGTTCACGTCAGATGACAAAGATCCAAGTGTAATTAAGACTGCTGAGTTTAGGCCGAGGAAGGATGTTACGCTGAGAAGTGACACGATTAATTAGTATTTTGGAAAGGCAACCGGGTTTTAGTGTCTAAGAGATTGGAACAGGAGATTAATTAGGAGGCCACAGTAAATGTTAGGAAGGGTGGTGATGACGGCCAGAACTAGGTCAGTGTCGGTGAGAACAATGGAAGGGGCAGATTTCAGGAACATTTCTAAGTAATAATAACTGATGACCCATCAGAAGAACTGAAGATGACTTCAAGACGCCTAGCTTGGGTGACGAGGACTGAGGGAGGAGGAGCAGGTGTTAGGATGGAGGGGGGAAGGGAAGCTAATGATTCTGCTTTGACTTTTTCCATCTTGAGACTTATTGTGGTCTTGGAAGACAGAATGTCCCTGGCTGTGACAGAATGTGGACTTTTTACCTCCACACCTAAGAAAGAGTTCCTGGGAACAATCGTTGTAGAGGCTCTCCCTCCTCCTCTCATGGGCAAGGCTCACCTGGCAGTGGAACCAGATTGCACTGTCAACATGCTCTCCATGGAAACATTCCAGAAGGCAACGGTTATCCAGATAACCTTGACGGTTGCGTACATCTTTGAAGCTTGTATTCTCCCGGGAGCAGAGAAGGGCATTAGTGCCGGGCTAATTGAATCAACAAATTCAGCCCCTGCCCACCTCTCCTACCTCATTTATCTCACCACTAACCAGACGGGAGGACAGTATGAGCAAAGTACCTGGTGTTTTCAGGGAAAAAGAGGGTGGTGTTTTCAGGGAAAAAGAGGGAGGAAAGCTGGCTAACTCATCCTCCGTCATACTCAACTATATGTGGGTCTTTACTTTTAAGTAACCCACATTTTCAATATTGATACTCCTATTGTTTTTGATTTTCAAAATGTTTATTATAAATAAAATCAGATGAAGAATCGCGAATTATAGGTAATATTTTCACTTTTTAACTTTTTAACTGAAGTGAACATACTTACGGAAAAGAGCAGAGAAGCGTATGGCACGATGATTCTTCATCAAGAAAACACGCCCGTGTGGCCATCACCAGACCAAGGAGAGAGTGGCTACATCCCAAAGGCCGCCTCACTTTGAGCTCCTTCCGAGCACTACCTTCCAATATTGACCACCAACCCGACTTCTAATGGCATCGATGAGTGTTGCCTTCTTGAACTTTATATTTTAATAAGTAGAATCATGGATGATTTCGGGTCTGGCTGCTTTCACTCAGTATTTGTGAGAGCCACCTGTGTGGTTGCATATAGTTAGCCACTGCTGTGCAGTATTCTAGTGTGTGAAAACACCACATTTATCCACTCTGCTCTTGATGGATATTTGGGTTGTTTCCAGTTTTGGTCTGTTCTGAATTTTGCTGCTATTCTGGTGAACATACGTATGCATTTCCTTTGGACAGATATGTAGGAGTGGAACTGTTGGGTTAAAAAGCTGTTCACCTGTCCCTTTATCATTTTTCACACGACAAAGTCAGATTTCTATTATCGAATGAATCAACACTTTTTAAGTTCTCAGCAGTCTCCTTTCGACAGCCTTGTTGTCTCAGAGTAGAAAATTCATTTCACGTTTATCTAATGCTTTCTGTGTGCCAGGCACTGGGCTAGGTGCCTATGGAGACAAGAATGACAGGATCCCTGTCCTCACGAAACATGGCAGGAGACCCCAAGTAGAAGTCAGACAACTGCGATGCTTGCATATTTAATGGATATTTTTGTTTGTCCTTATTTTGTAAAAATAAGTTGAAAATAAAAAAACAAACGCTGATACTAGTGATAAGCATAGGTCTCATAGATCTAAAGCAGTGGGGTTAAGGATAGAGTTTGAATAATGAGGGAAACCATTTTATCCCAAGTCTATTTAGCTTCTCAGCTTTGGACGGTGAGCAGTGCAATTTCAAATAGAGAGGGATTCATCCCCAAAAATGATTCCAAATCTACTCAGTTCCTGAGTTCAGGCAATGAGAACAGAGAGAGACCTGTAAATGGTCAAGATTTTATCTAGAATGTACAGGGTAATGAGGTGCTTTCTAAACTACTTTAGCTTTCAGAAGGAAGATGCTCCTGTAAACACTACTTGGACGTGTTTTCAGCAATAACCTACGTATACAAGTGAGAGGCCACCTGTTGTTAGTTAGAACAGAGCCACCAGCCCCTCTCATCTCCAGGGCTCTGTTCTCTGCTCAGATCGTTCATTCCCTTCTCACCTTCAGGACTCAGCTGAGACATCGTTTTCTCTGGAGAACTTTCCTGACCCCATTATGGACTAGCCGCCCCTCCCCTGTGCTCCTCGCACGGCGTCTGTTCTTATCCTGTCATAGCCCTTCTCATGCTGTTTTGTAACTGCCTCTTTACTTACCTGAATGCTGTGTTAATTAGGATATTAGTTTGGCTGCTTTAACAGAGACCAAAATATAAATGGCTTAAGCAACATAAAGGCCACATAGAAAAGTCCAGGCTGACTGGGTCTGAGGTGCCCAGGGACCTTGGTTTCTTAGGTCTTATTGCTCTGTCACCCGCTAGAATGCTGTCTCCATCGACACGGTCAAAGTCGCTTCATCGTCACCTCATCAGATTCTAGCCCTGGGAAGGGAAAAGTGGAGTTAAGAGGGCAAGCAGCATTTCCTTCTGTTTTAACCCAGCTGTGGTTTTTTGAGGACACTCCCCGTCTTCGCTTGTGGGCTAAGATGCACGAGTTCTTAGAGGTGACGGTGGTCATGCAGTCCACGTGGCTTCCTTTGAAGGACGTGACCAGAAGCTGCTCTCTTCACTTTTGTTCGTGTGACACCAGCCAGAACTTAGTCACTGTCCCAGCAGCAAGAGCCCTTCTTACTAAAGGGAAGAAGGGGGGAATGGATACTGTGGGACAGCTAGCTATTTCTGCCGTATATACCAAATTAGGCAGTAAGTTCTGAGTTGGTTCACCACTATGTTATCAGTGCTCAGCACAAAGTGTTTAATGAAATTGCTGAATCCTCCAAAGTGCTAGGACAGAGGACATTAATTCCAGATGTTTCTGAACACAGGACTGGATCTTTTCCACAACAGAAGGAAAAGTTAGACAGCTGTAGACTAGAATTCACTGTTCTCTATTAGCAGATGACTCTGAACAAGCTCTGACCCTTATTCTTTTTGATAAAATGGGGATGCCGTCTGCTCCCAGCACCCGTTGGGAGGATTCAAGAGCATGTATGACAGTGTTCAGCACAGAGATTGTGCTCAGAACACGTCCCTCCTTTTGGACAAGTCCTGGCAACATCTGCCATGACACTGGTTGGTTAGTTTTCTGTCCCATAACTGCCTGGTGTCCAACCTCTATCAGAGCTCATTTGCAGAGCTGATGGACACACAGCTCTGTCTGTCTCTCACGCGCTCTACATTTTATGTTTAGGCTAAGCTAAACTGCCAGAAAGCTGGGGACTTCACCTAACATTCGATTGTCAAGAAAATCTTTGCTTTTTCTCATAACCTACGTATATGATAAACCAGATGGTGATTCTCTTTTGATTTGGCTGTTTTAAGCACAGTCAAATCTACTACTCAAATTTAACGACTGTTTAAGACCTTCTGGCCCACACTTCTAATTTATTTTTCCCTTCACCCTTAACCATCTGTCTCAGGACATGACCCTGATTTGCTTGTGTGTGTGCTTGTTTCTTCCTCCAGGGTCCTATAGCACCTTCCTCTTCATGGCCCTTCCTGGGCTCCGCGAGACTCTGTTTAGATGTCTGTACCCTTCTGTGAACTCCTCGAAAAAAACGGACTGTGTCTTTTTTACCTTTTTTATTTACCTTATTTACTGCTTTTATCTATTAATATTTTCTCCATTGTATCAATTACATTCTTAAAAGAAGCATAAAAATTTTTGTAGAGTGAGGTGGAGTAGAAGTTTTGGAAGAAAAAAAAAAGTAGGTAATGAAACCCACCTATATACAGCCTCAGAAAACACTGTGAGCATCGCTGTAAATGAGGAATGAGATGAAACATGACTTACATTAAACCCTTCAGAAAGGATCAGTTGGGGACGTGTCAAAGGTACACAGAGGCCGGCGAGAAGGGTTCCCAACTGGCCAGATCTGGGACAATCCAGAACCTACAGCAAACCAGGAGGAAACACAGACGAATCCAGAGGGCATTCTACAGCGACTGGCTGTAACCTCAGACGTGCCCCAAGTGAAGACGGAGGAGCTGTTCTCGACTTGAACGAAGCTCAAGACACAACAACGAATGGCAACAGCTAGTTCTAACCTGTTTGCTTGTGTGTGTGCTTGTTTCTTCCTCCAGGGTCCTATAGCACCTTCCTCTTCATGGCCCTTCCTGGGCTCCGGGTTCCTTTTTTGCTCTAAAGGACATCATTGGGACACCTGGAGAAACCTGAACGGAACCTGAGGAATGGATAGTAGCAACGGACCCATGTTAACTTCCTGATTCTGAGGGTTGGTTATGTAGGGGAAGATCCTGGTGTGGAGGAAATACACACTAAAATTTGGGGGGTGACGGGGATTCAGGTTGGCAGCTTACTCTCAGATGATAAGGGGAAAAGAATTTCTTTTTACTGTAATTGCAACCTTTCCATAGTACAGTCGAGATTGTTTCAAAATAACCACTTTATTTTAAAAAAGTATCAGTTATTTTATTTTGGCAGGTAGAAATTTTTCTTTTTCTTAAAGAGGAGGTAGGGTGTTTCCGCACAAGGTTGGCCAGATGGGAAGATTCTTCAGCTCCGACTTGGCCTCCTTCACTTGAGAATAAAAGGCTTCCAGAGACCATGTCCGCGTCAGGCTGAGAGTGGGCACTCAGAGCGCCTGGGCTTCTCGGGCAGCTCCACGGCCGCGGCTGCAGGGGTCACGGGCTGAGCGACCGCTGCAGAGCTTCATACATCATTCGATCCTGGGAGGAGGGAGAAGACAGCACCCAGAGCTGATCACCGTTTGTTACAGGCTGAATGGTGTCCCCCTAAAACTCGTCTGTTCAAGTCCTAATCCCCAGTACCTCAGTGAGCGCCTGTATTTGGAAATGGGGCCTTTAAAGAGGCAATTAGGTTAAAACGAGGTCGCTGGGGTGGGCTCTAGTCCAATATGACTGGTGTTCTTACAAGAAGAGGAGATCAAGACACAGACATACACAGAGGGAAGACCGTGTGAAGACACGGGAGAAGACAGTCATCTGTAAGGAGAGAGGCCTCGGAAGAAACCAACCCTGCCAACACCCTGATCTTGGACTTCTAATTTCCAGAACTGTGAGAAAGTACATTTCTGCTGTTTAGCCACCCACCCAGCCTGTGCTACTGTTATGGCCGCCCTAGCAAACCAATACACAGAGAGCTGACCTCACCCCTAGATTCCATCTGAATTCCAGCCACACTCCTTTCTACAGGGAATGCCCACGACTCTCATACTTGTTGACTCCCTAAAAATCGGGTCAAAGATCCTTATGTCTATATCTAATCAGCGAAGAAAGCAAAATTCTAAACTATTCTGAGTCCAGGTGGGAGGGGGAGGCAAAAGCAGAGGCTTCCAGCACTACACCAACGCTTGTGAGAAACTGCCAGGTGCTTTCCAGTGCGGTTCTATCACCTTACATTTCTATCTGTTTACATCTCAACAGCGTATCCGAGTTATACCTGCTTCACATCCTTGCCACCATTTGGTGCTGTCCGTCTTTTAAATGCGAGTCATTCTGGCAGAAGTGTAGTGGAATCTCACTGGGGTCACACTAACATTTTAAGTGTTGGGAGGCAATTCCACTCCAATGAAATCCAAAAGAAATACTTGAAGCATGTTTTTATTTTTCTAGTCCTTTAAAATCTTTTTTAAAATCTGATTTTGTTAAATTACTCTTTTGGATAGGTAAAATGCTCACAAGGTTCAAAAATATACAAAGAGTTATAAGGTGAAAAAAGGCTCTCTCCTACCCTGCCCCCATGTCAACATATCCTTTTGGATTTCCTTCTGCATATACAAGCAAATACTAATATTCATTATTTTTCCCTCTTTTTATATAAGTGATGGCATATCCTATGCATGATTCCTACTCTTTTATTTAACTATATATTTAGGAAATATTCTTCAGTCTTTTTAGAGTGGTTACATCAGAATTCATTATATGATCATTTAGAATTTCAATCTTTAGCTATTATTATACACAATGTCCCAAAGAATAAATAACTTTAGAGGCCGGCCCCGTAGTGTAGTGGTTAAGCACGCTCGCTCTGCTGTTGGCGGCCCGGGTTCGGATCCTGGGTGCGCACTGGCGCACCACTTGTCAAAGCCATGCTGTGGCGGCGTCCCACATAAAGTGGAGGAAGACGGGCACAGATGTTAGCCCAGGGCCAGTCTTCCTCAGGAAAAAAAAAAAAAAAAAAGAGGAGGATTGGCATGGATGTTAGCTCAGGGCTGATCTTCCTCACACATACACACACACACAAAAGAATACATAACTTTATACTGACACGTGTATTTCTGAGGATAAATTCATAGACAAGAGTTGCTGGGTCAACTTTTATTGTGATTATGATGTAGCCCATCACAGGACAGGGGCTCTACTGATGGACAGCCCAGCAGCTGTGTATGAGAGCAACTGTTTCCTCAGAGCCTGGCCAGAGCCGTGTGATCAAGTTTTGAGATTTTTGCCAACCGATAGATAAAAAGTAGTATTTTGCTGCTTTTCGTTTATTATCAGTAAGTTGAGAATTTTTCTATATGTTTAACAAGCTAATTTCCTTTCTGTGAAGGGTCGGTTCATATTCTTTGTCCATTCTACTAGGATTTTGGTCTTTTTCTTAGCAATTTCTAGTCATTCGTTATGTGTGCAGTAGATTGGTCCTTTGTGATATGAACTGCAAATATTTTTCCTACTTGGTCATTTGTCCTTTGACAACTTTTGTTAATGCAGAAATTTTCATTCTTATGTATTAGATTCTTCAGTCTTTTCATTTATGGTTGCTGGGTTTTGTGTTAAAGTAAAAAAGGCACTCCCTATTTGAGGTTATAGAAAGATCTCCCTATTTTCTTCCAGTACTTTTATGGCTTTAGTTTTTACATTTACTTATTTAAATTTTATTTTATTATTATTTTTTTTGGTGAGGAAGATCAGCCCTGAGCTAACATCTGCTGCTAATCCTCCTCTTTTTGCTGAGGAAGATTGGCCCTGGGCTAACACCCGTGCCCATCTTCCTCTACTTTACATGTGGGACGCCTGCCACAGCATGGCCTGACAAGCGCTGTGCGGGTCCGTGCCCAGGATCTGAACCCATGAACCCCTGGCTGCCAAAGCAGAGTGCGTGAACTTAACCACTATGTTACCGAGCCGGCCCCTAGTTTTTACATTTAAATCTTTGAATCATTTGGAATTTATCCTGGTGTACAGTATGAAATATGAGTCTGACTTTAATTTTCTGAGATGGTTCCCAGTTGTCCCAATATTAATCAGTGAATAGTCCATTTCTGTCACTGGTGTGGGGAAAATGATATATTACAACATTGTTCCTATAAATTACATATTCTATTAGGGTCCATTCCTGAACTTTCTCTTCTGTTCCATTTGTCTGTCAGTCAGTTCATGTGCCACTACCACAATCCTTTAACTATCGAGGCTAATTTCTGGGTTTTAGGCCCCACCCCTAGCTTGACCTGCTTCTTGCCGTTTTCCTGGCTCTTCCGGTTTGCTTATTTTTCAATATAAACTTTGGATCACCCCTGTCTGGTCCCAAAAACAAGCAAAAATTAAAATAAGAAACCAAAGAGTAGAGGCTGGCCTGGTGGCGTAGCGGTCAAGTTCACGCGCGCCGCTTCACGGCCCTGGTTTCGCAGGTTCGGATCCCCGGCGTGGACCTAAGTACTGCTCGTCAAGCCATGCTGCGGCGGCGTCCCATATAAAGTGGAGGAAGATGGGCACGGATGTTAGCCCAGGGCCAATCTTCCTCAGCAAAAAGAGGAGGATTGGCAACAGATGTTAGCTCAGGGCTGATCTTCCTCACCAAAAAAAAAAAAAAAAAAAAAAACAAAAAACACCCAAAGAGTAGAGAGCCATTATAACAATTCTGAACAATACCAAGTGGCCTTAGCACTGAAAGTTCTTTGCCTACTGGACTGGGGAAAGTCAAATAAACAAGATTGCCTTGTACTGCCAAAAGGAACAGCCAACAAGCCGGACCACAGAGTTCTCAGCTTCTAGCATGATGGAAGTAAGACTCGATGGAAGGTACGGAGAAGTGGACTGTTTAAAACCAGTGTACGTATAATGTTTTTGACTTTCAAAAAATGAGTTTACCACCATGGTATTTTACTCTGACGATAATCCAGGGACAGATAAAGGCAGAAGAGATGTTATCTCTAACAAATCAGAACACTGAAACAGAGAGGAAGGGCAAATACACCATTCAACAGGGAAAACCATTTCCTGGACTGCATTTAATGTTTACCTCTGATTTGGAAGATGGATTAAAAAAAAAACTCTATATACTTATTTCAGTGATTTTTCAAGTACCTCTCAAATGGTTTCAAAGCTAAACATAAAGTAGGTATTAGTGAAATACTGAATTCACTCTGAAACAGGATAGAAGGGTCTCTGTATCTTGACATCACTACTAAATAAAGACATTTTAAGCATGCTCAGTTTATTACCAGATTAAAGCAATTCCTTTTTTACAATAAAATAACTTTTAAAATTATAAAACAACATTTATTGTAGAAATATTAGAAAATACAAATCAGCAGAAAAAAATAAAAATTAATCCTTAATTTCCAGGGATAACTATTGTTACTATTTTGGTCTTCCAGGACCTTTTAAATTACTATTTTTTAAATATTTAAGTTTTTTGAATAGGTAATAATTCACAATTCAAATCTCAAATGGAATAAAAGATTCTCCAGTCACATCTCTGTCCTCTGGTCACCCAGCTTCTCTCCCCACACATGAATGTTATTAGTTTCATATGTAATTATTTCCTAAGGGCCAGTTAACATGCCAGACAAGGAAAGTAGTCTCTTTACCTTGATGTTATGCCCTTTTTTTTTTTTTGGCGAGGAAGACCAGCCTGAGCTAACATCTGTGGCCAATCCTCCTCTCTTTGCTGAGGAAGACTGGCCCTGAGCTAACATCCATGCCCATTTTCCTCTACTTTATATGGGACGCTGCCACAGCATGGCCTGACAAGCGGTGCGTAGGTCTGCGCCCAGGATCCGAACCTGCGAACCCCCGGCCACTGAAGCGGAACGCACGCACTTAACCGCTACACCACCGGGCCAGCCCAGATGTCTTATTTTTTAAAAGATCAAAGTAATAATCAGCTTGGTCAATGGCTTTATTTATTCAAAATTCATACTAAGCCTATTTCCAAAAGAGAAGTTGTAGCTTCTTATTCACTAGGGTAGTTTCCAGAAATCAAATATTTAGAGTTGAAAGATTATGACCACCAAAGATATTAAAATGAATATACTAGAATCAAAGAGCATCACTAGGACATACACGTAGCCTTCCAAGGGATGTTCCTAAGAGGATAAAAAAATTCTACGGTGTCTGGAATTACAGGTTCAGATATGTTTTTACTAAAATCAGTCACAGTGCCTTTGTCATGTAGTTGATACTGTCTAAGCAAAAGATACCCGCAAACCATTTTCTCACATCGATGGACGTGAGGGACCAGGTTAATACACAGCCTGTGCGTGCATCCATGGTGCACAACTCTTAATTGCTCACAAAGATTAGGAACGCTGTCTTGTGTGCTTTTGCATCTTGTGGTCTAGCACGGTGCCTGGCATACGCACAGCAGGTACACAATCCATGTTTCTGCAGGGATGGAAGGATGAGGTCTTAGGTAACCCGTTAATACACAGCAGGGGTAGGGGCACTCTGACTTAGGAAGTTCTTCTCTCATAAATGTCAGTGTGACAGAAACAGACAAATGGATGAACTGCATAATCCGGAGTGTGAAGAAGAGAATCAAAGTGCTACGGCCAGAGGGCGTGAAAAACACGAAACCAACAAGTTACTAAAACAGAAGTTTCTATGGCGTGGCTTTAACAGAGGAAGAAAGAAAAAAAAGTTATAATTTATGTTTATGTGAGGTTTCCTTCCTGACAGTGGAACAATGCCACAGTACGCAGAGTGAAAAGACTAGAACTTGAGATCATAACCTCAGGGTCTCAACATTCATTAATAGCTAACCTAGCCTCAGGTCCCTGGTGAGCAGTTAATACTGAAAAAACCAGACCAGCAAAGTAAGGTACGCTTTAGTGGCCTGTGAAGCGACACATACTGGGCAAGAAAATCTGGCTTCTTTGTGGGGATAAAATAAAAGGATGACACAGCTGAGATGAACATCTCTGAATTCTGAGAAGCAACTGGCAAAAAGAGTCCAATCTTATTGCTGGCATATCTGTCATAACAATTGCCAGCCTATTAAGTCTTCTTGGAACCACCATAGGACATAGCCTCTCGCTGGAAATTAGGAGGGGTCCGGAATCTTCAGGTGGAGCCCAACGAACAGCTTGGTACCAGCAGAGTGGCAGTGAATGAGGAGTACAGGCAGAGACCCAGAGAAGGGACGTTTGCTCATTGTCCCCACTTCCCACCCTCCACTAGTGACGGAGGATTTACTGGGTCAGATGACAAATTTCTGCATTAGGCTCCTAAACTAAACTCTTTAGTTATGTCAACCAATTGCTGGACACTGAATCCACTTTACACGCTCTAACTGTCCAACCCCAAATTAAGGATCATGTGGCACCAGGGAGGCAACCGCTCCCAGGAAAGAGAAGGTACCAGCTAGTGTGACAGATTTACGTGGCTTAAGAACATGCTGAACATTTCACAACTATCAAGACCAGCTCTGCAGACCCTGGGACAGAACTAGCACAACACCCTTCTTCTTTCTTTTTCTTTTTTAGGCATCTCCTGATCATTTATTTACTGTTAACTCACTTCAAAGTGATAGCTATTTCTGTAAGAATGTGTGAAAGGCTAAAATGTAATAAGTATTCCTTTCACATTTAACAAAATCTAGTGATTCTCTTTTAGCGTAAAAAGAAGACTCAAAATCCCAACCCTGACACTGACAAGTCAATTAACTTGAGTACCAACATCTTAGATACAGGTTTTCATTCTATGGCTTGAAGTCATCATCTATATAAAACTATGCTGCCCGCCGAGACCCAGCCTGGCCAGAGTATCTCATTTCCTAGTCGGCCACAGTGATTGATTTCTGGATGGGCTCCTAACCTGATCTGGACCAATCACAGGCTTCCCTGAGACTCTCCTGCCAGGGCTATCAGAGGGTCTCTTGCCATGGGGGTTAACAAGCAGCCTGTATATCTGGGCCTTGCAGGCAGCCATCTCCCCACAAGAGAGGAAGCAATAATGTTTCTGGATCTCGATGCCTAGTGCCAGCCGTGCCCTCAACATCCTTGTTACATGGACCGATGAATGCCTCCTTTTTCCCACTTACATTAGTTTGAGTTGAGTTTCTGTCATTTAGAACTAAAAGAACCCTAACAGTAAAAGTAGAAAGAGGTGGCTTGTAAATGAGCTCGTCAATTTTACATTCAGGAAAGCATCTCAACAAATGCTACACTTTTCTTTTGGTTAGATATTTTCTTCTTTTGGTTTGACTTCTGAAATGGATTCTGTTTGACTATGCCAACTCCTCTAATTTCAACTGAATTCTCCTAAATCAGAAGGAAGAGGTTCTTTAGCGCAGTCTTGAACTGTGAAGGCCCCAAAATAGAACCAGAACCAGAAAGAAGGAACTGAGTCCCACATAAACATAACATACATTCGTTTCAAATTTACATGCAAAAAGGAAGCAAAGGTGATAAAATAAAGATTTAATCCTTACTTATCATAACTACGAGGATGACAACATGGCCAAATTTAAGAATCAGGTTAAGCAATTTTCAAACTTAGCACATCACATTTGTAGCTATCTGTAATAAAATGAGTGCAGCAATAAACACAGAAGCTTTTAAAAATTACAGCAAGCAAATATAAACAAACAAGTTTCTAGAAAATTGATCTTTTTAGAGATAAAGAAAGTAAAAGAGTAACAAGTGAGAAGCTACCCGAGGTCAATATGTAAAAACCAACTGAACTTCTATATACTAGTAACAATTAGAAAACAAAATTAAAAAAAAAAAATCTACAAACGGATTACGAGAAAATATCCTCAATATGTATATCTGATAAAAAACTTCAATCCAAGATAAACTAAGAATCTGTACAACTTAATAATGAGAGAAACAACTCAATTTTTTAAGAGCAAAAGATGACACAAAACAAGATATCCAAATGACCAATAAGCATATGAACTATGCTTGACATTTTAGTCATAAGGGAAATGCAAATTTAAACCACAATACTCATCCAGCAGAACAGCTAAAATTAAAAGACTGACAATACCCAAGTGTTGGTGCAAATGCAAAATGGTACAGCCACCGTGGAAAAAAGGCCGGCAGTTTCCCATCAAGTTAAACATACACTTACTATATGACCCGGCAATTCCTCTTTTGGTTATTTACTCAAGAGAAATCAAAACACATGTTCACACAAATCAAAACGCATGTTCACACCTGTGTTCAGAGCACCTTTATTCATAAAAGCCCCAAACTGGAAACAACCCAAGTGTCCACCAACAGGTGAAAAGACAAGCAAATTGTGGTATACTCATATAATGAAAACTACTCAGCAAGAGAAAGGACCAAACCACTGAAACACACAACACAGATGAATCTCAAAAACACCATGCTGAGCAAAAGAAGCCAGACCCAGATGATTATATATCATATGTTTCTATTTACAGCAACTTCTAAAACAGGCAACGTTAGAGCACGGTGGCAGAAGGCAGACGGGGTTTGGAAAGGGACTGACTACAAAGGACATAGGACCTTTCTGAACTGATGAACACATTCTCCATCTTGACCGCAGTGCTGGTTACAGCTGTCAAAACCCATGGAACTGCACACGTAAGCTTGTGCATTACTGCATGTAAACTAAATTTCTATTAAAAAAAGTAAGATTAGAGAAGGAGAGTGGCAAATGTGGAGCTATGCCAACATGTCCTGATTCTTGCAAAGCCTCCAAACTCGGACTGTAGGTCAGAAACAATTTCAGTTAAAACATTTTTTTAATGACTAAGTCTTTCGAGGACACTTATATCACAGGCTCTTGTTGATCAGAATGAAAAACGCCAGTAATATTAACTGCAAAATTGTTTCTGATTTTAATTGATAAGACTGTGTTTTATTCAAACATGTTCAATAAAATAAGAACATTTTCTCTAGTACACAAAAATGCCTGAGAGGTCAAGGCAGACTATTGTTTCTCCAAATATGGTAAAAGACAGTCCAGGTTCAGTGGACTCTTACTTTATAACCCTAGCTGAACAAGAAGTCAGTCATGTGCCTAAAAGATACACCGCCAGCCCAAATCCCTTAACTGGTTATTTTAGGTAAAAGTGATAAGATGGTCAACAAACTTAGAACATATAACTGTTTGGATTCTGACTTAAGAGTTTTCAATCAGTAATCATAGTGAGAAAGGCTGAGCCTGGGGTGATAACTGGCTAATGATTTAAAGGAAGTTTAAGTATTGTCAATAAACAGGTCCTCGTGACTAAGGCATATTATACTTCTACAAGTCTGGAAACAAAAGATATCCAAGTGAACAAAACTTATTACAGTAGTATCCAATTCAGACATTCATTCATTCATTCATTTATTTTCCCCCAAAGCCCCAGTAGATAGTTGTATGTCATAGCTGCACATCCTTCTAGTGGCTGTATGTGGGACGCGGACTCAGCATGGCTGGAGAAGTGATGCGTCGGTGTGCGCCCAGGATCCGAACCCGGGCCACCAGCAGCGGAGCGCGTGCACTTAACCGCTAAGCCACGGGGCCGGCCCAATTCAGACATTTCTTAGGGTTGGATATTTCCCCACCAACCCTCTCTGTGTCACAATAACCCAACTTCACTTAATAGCAACCATTTTAACTTATTACAAACAAAAAAAACCTCTAAATAGTAAGAAATAAACGTGTAACATCTGAAAAGCCGTAGTGATTTTTCTAACGCTTCTCCAACCTTATGGGGAAGACATTTTCACTTTCCTGAAACGTATGACTGAGTCCCTAGGGCTGAGTTTGGGCAGTCTAGCTCCAAGAAGATGAGAAACCATTTGTTGAAAAGGGCTGAGCAGGTCAAACGCTCAAATGAGACTGATGAAAAATTCTGAGATTGTGGAAACAGGCACAAGAGGTCATACTCTCTCTGAATAAGAGTTACTCAAGAATCTAGTTAGGAGTAACTGTGCTTCTGTCTCTTAGGAACAGGCAAAATTAATCTCTCTCAAGAATACTCTTACAAAGGCAATTATTTTGCTTGTTTTCATGAATTCATATCTACTGGTCTCAATTCTAGTTTCTTTTCTCTAACCGTTAAGAGCATTTCTTACCTTTTTTGATATAGATGATTTTACTTTCTTGAAAGCTTCTTCAAAGTGCTTCTGACTAATCTTGAGTTCACCTGTGGAGCAAATGCATAAATACACATATTTCAGTACAGTAGACTAATTGTGATTTATAACTTCGTTTCTCTTAAGAGACTGCCAAGCCTTCAAGGGGAACAATAAGAAAATTAGCAATGACACCGGTTCTATTCTTTTTCAGAACAGTGTTCATGCCAGATATATTCTCCTCATCACATTTTTCTTAGACAATTTTACATTTTTATTTAATTTACATGTATCTGACCATATTTAATTCTACATAAATGCTTAAGTTTTATAATATCACACATTTTAGCACATTTTTTTTTCAGCAATCAAAACAGTTTATTTTGGGACAACTTATATAAAAAAGTACTTTTTCCTAAAACCATAAAACTCCTAGAAGAAAACATAGGCGGTAAGCTCCTTGACATTGGTGTTGGCAATGATTTTTTGGATTTGACACCAAAAGCAAGGCAACAAAAGCAAAAAATAAACAAGTGGGACTACATAGAACTAAAAAGCTTCTGCACAGCAAAGGAAACCATCAACAAAATGAAAAGCAACCTACAGAATGGGAGAAAATATTTGCAAATCATCTATCTGATATAATATCCAAAATGTATAAAGAACTCATACAACTCAACAGCAAAAACACCAAACTATCTGATTAAAAAATGTGCAGAGGGTCTGAACAGACATTTTTCCCAAGATGACATACAGATGGCCAACAGGTACAAGAAAAGACAATCAACATCACTAATCATCAGGAAAATGCAAACCAAAACCACAATGAGGTATCACCTCACACCTGTCAGAATGGCTATTATCAAAAAGACAAGAAATGATAAGTGTCAGCAAGGATGTGGAGAAAAGGGAACTCTTGTGCACTGTTGGTAGGAACATAAATTGGTGCAGCCACTATGGAAAACAGTATGCAAGTTCCTCAAAAAATTAAAAACAGAACTACCATACAATCCAGCAGTCCCACTTCTGGGTATTTATCTGAAGGAAATGAAATCACTAACTTGAAAAGATATCTGCACCCCTATGTTCATTGCAGCATTATTTACAATAGCCAAGATATGGAAACAACCTAAGTGTCCATGGATGGATGAATGGATAAAGAAAATGCGGTAAAAAAAAAGTACAATGGAATATTATTCAGCCATAAAAAAGAAGGAAATCCTGCCATTTGTGACAAAATGGATGGATCTTCAGGGCATTATGCTGAGCGAAATAAGTCAGATAGAGAAGGACACATACTGTATGGTCTCACTTATATGTGGAATCTAAACAAAACAAAAAACCCAACTCATAGATTGAGAACAGACTGCTTGTTGCCAGAGGTCAGGGGTTAGGGGTGGGTGGGTGGAAAGGATGAAGGGGGTCAAAAGGTACAAACTTCCAGCTATAAAATACATAAGTCCTGGGGATGTAATGTGCAGTATGGTGACTACAGTTAATAATACTGTATTGTATACTTGAAAGTTACTAAGAGAGTAGATCTTAAAAGTTTGCATCATAAGAAAAAAATTTTTTGTAACTGTGTGGTGATGGATGTTAACTGGACTTACTGTGGTGATCATTTTGCAATATATACACATATCAAATCAATATGTTGTACATCTGAAACCAGTATAATGGTATATACATCAATTATATCTCAATTTAAAAAAAGGTACTTTGTCTTTAATTATAGAGAAATTCTTATCTTTTTTTAAACCAGTCCATGTTTTATTTATTTATTCCCGCCTCCCATTTTATTGAGACATTATTGACACATAACGTATGCAAGTTTAAGGTGTACAATGTGATGATTTGATGCATGTATATATTGCTAAATGAATACCACAATAAGGTTAGTTAACATCTCCATCCCCTCACCTAAGTACCTTTTTCGTGTGTGTGGTGATAACTTTTAAGATCTACTCTGTTAACAGCTTTCAAGTATATAATATAACACTGTTAATTATAGTCACCATGCTGTACATTAGATCCCCACACCTTATTCATCTTTTGGCTGGAAGTTTGTACTCTTTGACCAACATCTCCCCATCTCCCCTACTCTCTGCTCATCAGATTTTAATCCAGAAAAACCCAAAGCCCTCTTTGCCTGTTTACCTTAACTTAATGGTGATGTTTATGAAGAAGAACCAGAATTCTTCTCTTTTAAGATGACTCAAATATATTTGAGAATGGAGAGTAGAATTCCACAGTAGTTAAGTGTGCATACATATAACTAGATGTTATGGAGTTATAATAGCATAATACAACATATATAGATAATATGACAATACTGGATTAGACTTTTTATATTAAAAAGGGGGTTCTGATTCTTTATGAGGTTTTGCCATTACATAAGCAAGAGAAATCAAGTAACTAAATGTTAAACAAAGCTTGGTTTAGAATGTTAATATGACTTACATGATGACAATTTATACTTAAAATAGTCAACTTTCTAGACAGATATTAGGATAGCATATATACCTAAAAATTAACTATAACGTGTAGCTGAATCTATCAACTGCAAGTGGAATGGCATTACTGACTTCAGTTTCACATCAATGCAAAATCCCTAAAGGACAGATAGCTAGAAATGCAAACTGCAGCAAAGCAGGGATGTCAGAATTTTTCATACATGTTCAGAAGATAACATCCAAATAAAATTATCAGTAGCAGCCAGTGCATGTACAGAGGCCTGCTAATTTTTAGTGACAAAACAAATCCCAAGATAGTCATCAGATTCACCTCTCAGGTGGCATACTATCTACCACCTGATGTTTTTTACAAGATATTCTAATTTTGCTAATTATATCCCACTTACTTGCAAAGGAATTTAAAATAGCTTACCATAAAAGAAGTTCAGATAACTGAATCCTAAAATTAAACAACAAAAAAAACCCAGGGACTTCATAGTGAAGATATGTATGTGTGTTGACAAATCTAAGCTGAGCATATGCTGCTGTAACTGTAAACAAAATTTAGCTCTAAGATTCTTGGTAACTAAAAAAGGAAAAAAGAAAACCAAGACAAATAAAAAAAGACCGCTTTTGGAAATCTAGTGAATAAAAGATCAATACAGACTTGAACTTCAGATGAAAGTACAAGTTTAGGGGCCAAGGCAGTTCTTTTTGGAGAAGGTTTTCTACAGTACTGGAGAGGATGGCCATGAACTGTAACTGATCACACAATCATCACAGGATCCAAGCAAAGTAAAGGCTATTTCTGTACTTGGCTTGGTTGGAAAGCAGGTCACAAATGAATCTTTTCTGGCCACACACACTCAAATAGTACAATCAAAGACATTATCAAATGTGAAGAATGGTGCAAAGCTGCCGAGATGGCCCCAAATCATCACATAATAACATATGATTTTGTAGTATTTTGAAAGGGAAGTCTAAGTACATGGAAAGTTACTTCAATTTTCACTTCTCATGTGTGTGCGCATTCTAAGCTCTCCAATGAAGAAATAACTTCAACTTTTTTTTCTGTTTTAACAGAAAAGTAGATATCACCTTAGCAAAAGAATGAGAAGGTTTCTCAGAACGGATAAATAGACCAAACTCATGATGAAGACAGTGAATGGACTCACTTGCTTAAATCTCAGCATTTGGATATAAAGATAAGGAAAGGTATAATACTTCCTGTTAGACAGGCACCAAATAACTTTGCTATTATTACAGTTGTTGGCCATAGAGGTTACATAATATTCCAGAACAGTTTCTAAAGGTCTTACGAGAAAAACGTCAGTTTTACTATCACAGATAATAGATGTTAGAAAATGGTCATTTCCCAGGTCCACAGTGGTTTTAGGTATCCAGAGTGATAATTAATTAGAACTGAGAGATTCTGGAGAGATCATACCTTTTTCACTTCCACTCTTCTGTCTTGCCATTTCCTGTCTCAGGGCACAGAGAGAAGCTTCCCGTACCAAGGCAGAGAGATCTGCGCCCCTATGATACAAGAAGTGTTCTTATGTATTTATTCTTAGATGCTGCAAAAGCCCAGAAAGAAGTCTGATGGGGAATTGGGGGATAAAAATCTCATTTCTAGACATTAAACTTATTTAATATATAATGCTTACAATCCATATAACATATAAAGACACAAAGCTTAAACTAATAACTGAATCTAATGTTTCTGTTGGTAAAGTGTTAGGTTTATAACACTATTTAATAATCACGTACATGCTGGGGTGTTCATTCCTTCCCTTAAGGTTAAATCTAACACTGACATGGAGACACCATTAACTACGGTAAACAGATAGTGGAAGACCACAGTATTATAGTGTCTCTACGACAGTGGCATTAAAACCCAAAATGCACAGCATTCAACTTTAACCCTAACCCCTTTATGAACTGACACCCTACGTGGTAATCCAAAAGGTTTGGCCCAGGGTAAATTCGGTCCATCAAAACCATCTCTGTTACTCACTGAAAATTTTTTCAGATTTGAGCACTCAAAGCTGTACACTACTCACTTCAGTCTTTCTCCTTTTCCTTAGTAATAAGTTTACTTACTTACAGAATGGTATGGATTTGATTTTGAACTAGGGTGAGAGAGACATTCTCCTTAAATGGAAGGAGGGGCTTTTACTTAAGTCCCGCACCACCACTGTCTGGGACTCTGATCACTTCCTCTTCATTGAGACAACCACTGCTTTTTTTCCTTTTGGTGAGGAAGATTGGCCCTGAGCTAAGAGCTGTGCCAATCTTCCTCTATTTTGTATGTGGGATGCCGCCACAGTATGGCTTGATGAGTGGTGTGTAGGTCCACACCCGGGATCTGAACCCGAGAACCGCGGGCCACCGAAGCAGAGTGCGTAGACTCAGCCACTACGTCACCAGGCCGGCCCATCCACTGCTTTCTTTTTTTTTTTTTTAAAGATTTTATTTATTTTATTTTTTCCCCCCAAAGCCCCAGTGGATAGTTGTATGTCGTAGCTGCACATCCTTCTAGTTGCTGTATGCGGGACTCGGCCTCAGGATGAACGGAGAAGTGGTGCCTCGATGCGCACCCGGGATCCGAACCCAGGCCACCAGCATCGCAGCGCGGGCACTTAACCACCAAGCCACAGGGCCGGCCCCACTGCTTTCTTAAGTGAGCCAAGATTACTGACCAAAGTGTGACTAGGTACATAGGGGTGGCAGAAGAGAGATGGAGAGTCACCACCCTAGATGTCCATATAAGAAAAAACGGGAGATAAAACTGCATCCTCACTACATTCCCTAAAAATGATCCACGTGGTTTCAAGCAGAATCGTCTTGATAAGGGATGGTTACGTGAAATTCTTCAACCAGAACTGCAAATAACTAAGTGCCTGCGTTACTACCCGTGGCTGTGTTCTTTGGATATAAGTTCACACTGCTGAATAATAGACTCCTGAAGACCCCAGAGGTGAAACATCGCCTCACTGGACTGACTTAGCTTCAGAAAGCACACTATGTGGCCTCGCCCTAGAGGAGTATCATGAGCACCAAGTACATTGTGCACAATCAAGAGGGCTTTAAAATGAGCCAGAGGGAAGATGTCCCCTCTTGGTAAACGAGTCTCATTTTCTTCTCTGTGCACCAAAATTGGGAAAGTTAACAAACAAATTTACTTAAAAACATAGGAAGAAAACAACAAAAACTACAACCACTACAAACATATGAAAGCTGAAGACAGAAATGTCTGATTTCACTATAGGCTGTGTGGGTGTTAATAGGTGTGTTGTGAAAAATGCCTTCTGAGGCTTGGAAAATGTGGAAAATATTGTCTTTTAAATGCTGAAGCTCCTGGATAATTGTGCAGCCAGTGACGAAACTTCTGCTCAAATGTCTGGAAGAGCAGAGACGGTTTGTGAAGGGCAGCAGTGGTGGTCAGGGTAGCTCAGCACCAAGAGTCAACACGTGCGAGGATCCCTCCCGTTCCCAGGAGCTCCTCAGAGCCTCAAAGTGGGTAGTCCCTTCTCTAAGAAGGAAGAACCAAACATTTAGATGCTTTACAGATACCTAATCCTCACAACAACCTGTCAGAAATCATTCTCCCTCATTTTTTTTGTGGTGAGGACGATTGGCCCTGAGCTAACATCTGTGCCCAGCTTCCTCTATTTTGTGTGTGGGCTGCTGCCACAGCATGGCTCGATGAACAGTGTGTAGGCCACGCCCAGGATCTGAACCCACGATCCCCGGGCTGCCAAAGTGGAACTATGCCACGGGGCCAACCCCTCATTCTCCCTCATTTTACACGTGAGGAACTGAGCCTCAGAGAATTAACTGACTTGAGATTGAGATACTTACGAATAGCAATCACAGCGAAGGTCACCAGCAATTGCTTCCAAATTTACATCTGTATCCAGTGGGGGTTTGGTGCCATTCTAAATAAGAGAGAAAAACTATTTTTCACCGAGGCTTTAACGACCAACACTCTTCCACATAATAGGTTCTTAATATATAGTAATGGCTGCTTGACTAAATGAATATAATTGACTCCCAGACCAGTGTTATAAGATTTTTACAAATTTCGATTTTGAGAACTGAGGTTAATAAGCAGATTCCAAACTCGGCAAAGCTAAAGGCAAACAATATATGCTGGCGAAGTTTGAAGAATTTGTGTGCACTGCAGCAAAAATACCACCAACAAGAAAAATCACCACTGCAACCCAAAAGTGGAAGAAACCTATTTCCTTTGCCTGATTAAATATGGCAAATACATACGCAGTGCTTAGTTCTGCTGTGCATATGTGCTCAGTGTTGACGTGAGCTTGGCTAAGAAGGGAGAAATAATATTGAGCCTGGCCAGGAGAGAAGAGCAGTAAACTCCTCTACAATAAAAGCCAAAAGCCCCCCGGGCTCATTGCCTTCTTTCTTAACCCTTTATCTAAAACTCGACCCTGACTCTGGAGCCAATTCCCCTTCAGCTCATGCCAAGAGATGCGAGAAAGGACAAGTGACAGAACAGTCTTAGAATCCCAATAACACTTAACACAGTACCTTGCATGCATACACTACGTATTTAATGACATTTTCAGTGATTTAAACTGCAGAGGCAAACAAAACAGTTTTAGTGATTTAAAATGTCTGACAGTTAGATGGTAGGTTCGTGAGTATTTGCTTTCTTATTCTGACTCATAACTTACATATACATTGCATATAGTCTTTCTTTTGTAGCAAATATTACATTAGGAAATAGTTTAAGAAGAAATACACAGACAAAAGTGAATAAGCATATGCCATTAAGCTTCAAGGTAAGTGTAAATATTAGCACAGCAAGTGCTCCAAGCAGAGCTGGGTCAGAAGAGCTGGCACCTGCATAGTCACCCGCCTCTTGGCCCACACTCAGACAGTGTCCTCTCATTTCCTCCCAGCTGGGCATGTTCAAAAACTTAATAAACTGTACATCTGCTAGCTGCTATTATTTGATAAGGTGCAAGTGTTCATCTAACACAGGTTCAAGAAGCAGTTGTGTTTCCCATTCAATCCACTTTGACCTGGGACATAATCATGGGAAAATAAACGCTGTGTGACTTCAAGCAAACAATCTTTGCACTTGTTTTCTTTTTTCCCTCCAGCTGTGTGTAAACCTAGATGGTCAGACTGCATGATCCCTAAGGATCCTTTTAATGTTAAGGTTTTCAATTTAGTCAGTTAACCTTGCGGGGTAGGGGTGGGTAGTGATGGAAGGCAGCAGGAGAGCAGCCTCTGTGGTTCTGGAAGTTCTCTCGCTCTCTTTCATTGTAGTACAATTTACTTAACAAAATTTATCATTTTAACCCTTTTTCAGTGTATATTTTAGTGGCATTAAGCACATTCACACTATTATGCAACCATCCATCTCTAGAACCTTTTTCATCTTCCCAAAATGAAACTTTATCTGCATTAACCATTAACCCTCCCATTCCCTCCTGCCCCTAGCCCCTGGCAACCACCATTCTACTTTCTGTCTCTGTGAATTTAACTGGTAATGGAGTTTGATCTGGAGGTTTTGGGTTTTGTTTATAAAAACTCATGAAGCTGGACATTTAATGATATGTCCATTTTTCTGTACGTGCATTATACTTCAATAAAAAGGTCTAAAATGTGGAAAAAACCTCCAGGAATTAGAAAACCTGAGCTCTAACATTCAAATCTGCAACTGAATGGACCTTTGGGAAGTTCCTAAATCTTCATTATTTATTTTGGTAATAACAATAATAAAAAAAAATCATCATTGTGTCTCCAGATGAGGAGATATAATTTTGTGCTATATTTGGGAGGGGAAGCGGGGGCACCTCATACCTCTGGTAGCACAGCCTTGTTGAGGCTCTCAACCCATCATTAGAGGAGGGAGGGGAGGGGAGAGGGAGGGCTCCTCATTAGGCCTGAACCCTTATTAGTTTCTTTAATGTTTATAAGAAACTATCAACTATGAAGTTGTTTTTAATGCACTGGCTTTGAGTGACATCCTCGGCTTACATTAAGAGACCATCAGCCTCAGTCCTGAAAGGCTCATTATTGTGTTTATGACATGGATATTGTTAAAAACATGATCCGTCACATCTTAGCATTCTCTTTATGAGGACCCAGAGGAGAAAGTTTTCTCACATGTGCATCCCAGGAGAAACTGTCGGCTTTCTACATGTAGGGCACCCTTTGTTTAGGTGAGATCTCTTGTGAAAGCTGAGTATATACAGGAACACAATAAATAATTATCTGAAAATAATATTTTAGAAAAATAATTAATTCTTAGAAATTTAGATTCTCAGAAATTTTCTAATTCTTAGGAAATTAATTTTTTAGAAAAAATAAATCATCCCCCAAATATCCTCACCTGAAAGAAAGTAACAAACTGCCTTTTTTTGAGAGCGTGGGGTGTGGTCTACACAGGCTATCTCCAAAAATGTCAACAGCAACAGTACTTCCCAATTAGAAAAAAGGCCTGAAGAATCTTTGGATCATTACAATCTAACTATTCTTAACTGAAATGCAGCAATGTTTCTGACCCATAGTAAGAAGTAAAATGAAAGGTGAATTCTATGTACTCTCAAGCGGGAGCAATTAGAAACTTTTTACTGGCACATTAGACAGCTTATTGGGTCCGGCCCAGTGGTGCAAGCGGTTAAGTGCATGTGCTCCGCTGCGGCGGCCCAGCGTTCGCCAGTTCGGATCCTGGGCGCGCACCGACGCACCGCTTGTTAAGCCATGCTGTGGCGGTGTCGCATATAATGTAGAGGAAGATGGGCACGGATGTTAGCCCAGGGCCAGTCTTCTTCAGCAAAAAAAAGAGGAGGATTGGCGTCGGATGTTAACTCAGGGCTGGTCTTCCTCACAAACAAAACAAAACAAAACAAAAAAAAGAAACCTTATAAAACAAAATTTATACATATTTTAGAGAATCAGTTACTGAAATGATACTAATATAGAAAATATTTAGAACTTGTTATACTAACTTGGTTTTTCTTCACTACTGGTTTTCTCTCAATATATTAGCTCTAAGGGAAATCTCAAGTAATTTGGTGACTAAGAAGTTACGGCCCACAAGTATTATGTGATCCTACTTTTATGAGGTCCCTAGAGCAGTCCAATTCATGGAGATAGAGAGTAGAATGGTGGTTGCCAGGGGCGGGAAGGAGGGTAGCATGGGGAGCTCTTGTTTAACAGGTACAGATTTTCAGGTTGCAAAATGAAAGAGTTCTGGGGATGGGCAGTGGTGATGGCTGCACAACAACGTGAACATACTAATGCCAAAGAACTGTACACTTACAAATGGGTAAAACGGTAAATTTAAGTTAAACATGTTTTACCATAATTTTTTTTTACTTGCTTTTGTTTTTATTTTAGAACTTTTTAAGTTCCTCAAGTAATACCACATTGTAAAAAAATTAGAAAATACAGTTAAGCAAAATATAAAAATTGTTTTTATGACACTTTTGGTTCTTCAAAGCTGCGCATAAAACAACTAAGTGTCAGCGTTTTATTTTTTAAAGACTTTTTTACTGAGTTGTGGATTTAGAAAATTAAAATTCAGGGCTGGCCCCGTGGTTTAGCGGTTAAGTGCGCGTGCGCTCCGCTACTGGCGGCCCAGGTTCGGATCCCGGGCACACACCGATGCACCGCTTCTCTGGCCATGCTGAGGCCGTGTCCCACATACAGCAACTAGAAGGATGTGCAACTAGGACATACAACTATCTACTGGGGCTTTGGGGGAAAAAAAGGAGGAGGATTGGCAATAGATGTTAGCTTAGAGCCGGTCTTCCTCAGCAAAAAGAGGAGGATTAGCATGGATGTTAGCTCAGGGGTGATCTTCCTCACGGAAAAAAAAAATTAAAATTCATTTAAACAAATTAAACTTCAAAGCAACAAGAACATTTGGTTATTGGCTTAACTATCTTTGCAGCTACTGTTTTTAGTTAGTTAGTTTTAAACTCAATAGTGTGACAATTTTTTAAAAATTATTTTATCGAGGTCACATTGGTTTATAACATTGTGTAAATTTCAGGTGGACATTATTATATTTTAGCTTCTGTATAGATTGTGTCGTGTTCACCACCAAAAGTCTAGTTGCGATCTGTCACTGTGCACATGTGCCCCTTTAACGGTTTTTCCCTCCCTCTGCCCCCTTCCCCTCTGGTAACCACCAATCTATTCTCCTTATCTGTTTATCTTCCGCATATGACTGAAATAACAGACAATTTTTTAAAAAGGAAGTTATGACCCATATACGCCATTACTTCCTATAATTCTGATTAAGCATTATATGTTATAGAATACTCAGGTTCAAAAAGTAATTTAAGATGTACCATTACTTTTTAAAATTTCAATAATTATATCTATATTTAGTCACAGAAATCTATTTGTCATAGAACAGAGTCTGGAATCAACAATGATTTTTATTCATAGCTGATTGGAAAAAATAAAGAAAGGAAAATTAACATAATGATACCACCGTAACACGGCAATTGTTATTTGGCAATTTCTTGCCAGTCTTTGAACATATACAGAGAAACACACATCTCTGTATCCTGCTTTTATGAGATACAGGTTTGCTCATCAGTAAAATGGAAGTAATATTCATTTGAATATTTAAATATTTAATTTCAAACATTTCTAAAGGCAGTTGCACGGATGAAGCATATTCATACATGTAAAGTACCCGGAACACAGTAAATGCTTAATAAATATTACCTATTATTAGGTCCAATATTCTTAGTCTATGAAACTTTAACAGATAACATTTCTAGGTGAGAAGTTAATATAGGTTTTAGTCTTATGGGACACATTTAAAAAACAAATTGGAAGTTTGGGTCTTTTAGTGGGATTTTTGTCGCTATTTTAAAGACTATATACTATCTCAAAGCACGTGGCAGACATCAAACAGTCTTTCTGGCTTTCTGAGACA